AGCAGTGAGGCTCCTTCATCGGTGGCTCGGAATGACGTCAGCACGGTCGCTGCTTCCCCTGAGGTTGCGGCCAGGCTCGGCACCACTGTCACGTCGTTGTCCTCAGGTGCGCGAGAGAATAGCGTCGGCCTCAGCGCAAGCGCTGCCGGGAGAAGCAGCAGCAGCAAGAGCAACTCCACTGCTTCTTCTACTAGGGCACGCAATGAGGGCTTCACGGGCGAGGAGGTAGCGGGGAGGAGGGACGTTCCTTCGGATATTCCGGGTACGACGAGCTGCAAGCACGGCGGAGAGCAAGGGCAGGTTTGTAAACAAGATGTAGACATTTAGAAGTACGGGTCCTATGAAGTAGCTTACGTTTGTCGTGATGAGCATGCAATGCAATCGTTCGCAAATAAGCCATAAACCATTGGCTACATACACCGAACGCATTTCCACCGCAAAAATTGAGGCGACAAGCGAGAAAATATTTCGCTGGAGAGAAGCGGCATATCCAAGAAGAAAGATTATTTGGAGGTGCGTGTGGGCTGAATAGTTGAAACAAGCGCTCCTCATTTCGTGATTCACCTAACGAAAGCTCTCGCGGGGCCGCACACAGTCACCGTAGTCAGTGGTTCTCGTTGAATGCTCCTATTTTCTTCACGTCGTTCGCACCCATAGAAGTTGCCACTTGTAAGGAAGAGTGTCATGCACTTTGTCACCCCCGACTTGAGTCACTGCACACCCTGGCTGACACAAACACTCGTTCTTCAAGAAAAGGTTCCCTCTGAAGCGAAAATGTGGTTTATTCAATACACACATACTCGACGAAAATTAACATTTTTCGGGACGGGCGTGTGTTGGACTCGGTGCGTGCGCCGTACGTCGTTCATGACCGCGTCTCCCCGCCCTGGCTTCCTTTGCTGTGCCGTTGAAGGGGCAAGCACGGGAGCATTACACCTCCGAGCAACCCGTCGACCACGGCAACAAGCGGCAGCTACACCACCGGCGCTTGGTCCCCCTCCTTCCGGTACCACCGACGACTACTACCTTGGGGACGCGTGTGGTGAATCGCTGTGGAGGGAGTGTTCCGCCGGAGGTTGGTCGGCAGATATGCCTGAGACACCAAGAGTGTCCGCGGCAGCGGCAGCATCAGCAACATCAGGATCACCATGATCGGCAGCAGAACTGCCAGCAACCGCATCGGCTTGGTCAGAAACAACAACAACAACAACAGCATCAGGTGGGTAGATTTTTTTAACCATCCCTTAGTATCAGGGTTCACAGAAATATTTTCTGCGAAGTAGGATCTGACTTCGATCCGTGGTCACACAGAGTGTTTCTCTCTCCGAGTTCCCGGGCTGATTGCACTACTACTTTACACTCAGTGGCGAGTAGGGCATAGGGGCACGGTGGTGGCACATATACCGTCATGGTTGCGGATAGTACCATTGAAATCGGCGACATCGCTTGTAGCGGACCCTCGCCAGCTGGCTATTACCCGTGCGGGCCGTGGTAAGCGAAAAAATGTCGTGGCACATACACCAGCAATTCCCAAAAAGGAACCGCGCACTCGCCGTGTTTTTTTTGGGGAGAAAGAAAAAGAGTGGTGCTCACTCACGCGGTCAATGGTCAAACTACATCACTCTAGCGCAGCAGCAAATAATGCCGACGCCCCCCCTCCCCCGACCCACAGTTCGCACGTTGGCATCGACTCCCACCCCCGTTCACGAAGCGTCTACCGCCGCCGCCACCGCCGCCCCGCCCCCCGTATTGAATTGTACTCCTATGTCACAAACGGCACTACGTGCCTACCGCTTGGTGACCCTCAGCATGCCGCAAAGGGGCCGGTCGGGGCTCGCCAAGCATCGGGAGAACAATTGAGCGCGCAACAGCCTATGGCCGCGGTGCGTGTACTACACCCGTTTTGTGTTGCACAGATGATG